CGCTCTTCGGTGAGTCTTTTGTGTTGAGAAAATTCTTGACATCCTTTAACGTCATATCCAACTCGAACACGATTTCTCATGCATACGTTATTATTCTTCGCCTGTTTTCAGAGCCTCTTCAAGGTTTATATGACTGATTTCTATGCAAATTTCTATGTTATCATCTACATCGCCGTTTCTTTTCGCTTCTTCACTAATGGTAAACGTCGCGCCATAATTTTTTTTTATAAAGTGAAGAATTTCGACAAACTCTCGAAAATTTTCCCAAACCATGTCTTTTTTTACTGTTTTTAAGTATTTTATAGTAAATTGACAAAATCCCTGTCATTATGTTTCCATCGGTTTTACTAACGCTTTCTTGTAAACAATTTGTCGTAGTTTTTTGTAGAAATACATATATGTAGACATGTCAGAAGAAACATCATATTCTTGTGAAAAACCTTGACAAAACAATTGTTTGTGTAACAAGGATTAAATAAAAAATCTTCCTTCGTATTTCTGATAATCGAACTAGGACATTCGAGTCATGTGTAGCTTGTCTATCGATTTTTTTGCATTACCGGAATGTCTAGCTTTCGCAATTTGAGCTCTGACATGTCAAGCGATATCTAGAAAAGGTCTTAACGAAACTAATTTTCGATCTCGAAAAATATCTTGATCTATATTATTTATATCTCATTCCTATTCAGAGATTTTGTATTCAAATGGATGACGAAGTAAAGATCGTAGCATTACTTTTTCATCTTTACCCCAAGAGATTGTAATCCTCAAGAGAATTCATTTCCATATAATTAGACTACATCTATTTGCAGAGAAGCTAACATTCTCTCTATTATTATCTATTCCCAGTGGTGTGGATTTTCATCTAAAGCTATTTTGGGTAAATCGAACGAACAATCCCGATTCGTCGAACGAACAAAATCCTACGTCACATTATGGATAATCTCAATTGTCATACAAGACGGAACCGTTCGTTTTTCGCGTAATCTAGGCAAGTATAGCATCTTTCTTATAATTTCGAGAGAAGTTCGTTTTCTTTCTTGTCTAACTACTCTGTAAATTGACCACGCGCCAAATATTTCACAACATCGATAACCGGATAAATACCTCTGTGCTTTTCGAACAATTGTTGTAAAACTTGGATTCTTACGCGATATTAGAACGTCGATATCTTGCCAACAAATCATCGATTTAGATTCGCATGAGTTATTTCTCGCGATTTCTTCCCTGTCAATATCACTAAGCTTTCATTGCATTTGAAGAGTCATGCTTACTACGATTATTTTGTGCAGCATTATTACATTCATACTTTTTCGTTCTTTTACTCTGTTTAAAAAATTTGTAAATTTTTTAATAGCTTTTTATTTATTATTAGATAAATTTTATTTATTATTTATTATTAGATAAATTTTATTTTTAATTGTGGTACTAATATTGGCATTTGCAAAGAAATTATTATTAGCTTCGTTCAAATTTTCTGTATGTATTTCATTACGAAAACGCGTTCTTTAATCGGAAATAATTTCATTTCGCTCAATTCGTCAAACTTCATTTCGCTCAATTCGTCAAACTTCATTTCATATATTTATTTCAATTATTCACTTTAGTTATTAATTCTTGATCGCATATTATTTATGAAATCTAGGGAACTTATTAAAATCTCTGACTATTCATTATTCTGATCCTGATTAATACAATCGCGTTCGGCAATTACAATCTCGTAATCATATCTGGTTTAAAATATTTAAGATATTGAAGAAAATTTTTATTATTAGAATGAATTTTTAATTTTTTTTCTATAAAAATATCAAATACAAGAGCGTCATCTTTTATACAATAAACAAAGCACGGCGGAGATTAAAAATTACTATGTTGTGAATAATCGCCTGTGCACGATATCGAGTCTACGCTCGCAGAAATATAACAAGTGACTGTTTAGCGTCCCATCAGAACCGGCGCGTAGAAGAGGTTGTCTTTTAAGAGAATGCCTCAAATCATGGCAGAGGCGTTCGCGAGAGGATTGCTAGACAAGATAATGGTAGAAGTTCTGGACGTTATAGATCGCGATGCAGAGGATGGTAAAGTGCAAGCTCGTTTGTATGTTTCGTGAATGTAACGGCGGGTTGAATAGAGACGTTGTACGCGTACGACGTTGTTCATTAATAAACGTCGTTTCATGATGCTGTAACAACATGGTTTTCAATTGCGATCGACATACATTTCGCGAAGATAACTGAGCGCAGACGCGTATAATTATCTCTGTTAGACGCAAATAACATATATACGTTAAATACTGTTATTAGGAAAATCCTGGGAACAGCACGTCAATGAGGAAACAGACGATGCTCAACTGGAATATGTACATGATAGACCTCAAGCAAACGAATGTACACACATACATTATAGCAAGACCGACGAAATAGAATTGATTGCAAAGATAGTTCGTGATTTGCGTGACATACGGATCGGAGATTCGCGTTATGTTCTTCCGCCTTCATTGTTAACATTGGAGAAACAGGTAATTGGATACAAGACGTAATTATTCTATTATAATCAATTGTAGAGATTATAATTATTGTACATAAGGAAAGAGAGGAGAAAGCAGGAAATAATAAAAATACAAAAGACTTCAAATTATGATAAAATTTTAATAATAATACAATACCAAATCATTTTATACATATATGTAAGTGTACTGTTTTTTTAAGTCTTCAAGTTCTAATTTATTTCTAAGAAAAACTGTGTTTCAATAATTCTATCAATTTGATCAAATAAAATTATAATCGCATCTTTTTCGATGTAAATATATTTAAAAAATGTACTTTTAATTGAATTTAATTTAAAAAAATTAAGTTAACTGTCATAAAAATCAATTATAACGTGAAAAAATTAAAATTAACATTTAGAAAAAATTAATTATACTCAATGTCGGACTTTCGCATGTTTATTTTATCACAGGCAGCTCTAGTTGAACCGTATGGCCGCAATTGCAGGGTATGAGTCTTGTACTTGCGGTTCTCTAGTATCACACCTGTGTCACATTAATTCCATGCACGATTATTATTTCTTGTGCGTGTGTTAGAATGAGAAGATCTACTCACGAGCACGCGCTTGTCTTTGCTTGAACAGGTAAAATGCGCCACACGCAACGTCGACGATGCACCGTTTATGAATCCAGCAACCGACATCGCCGAAACTCAACGCACGACCCAAGGTCAAGGCGACACGCACCAGATTAACACGACAATTCTCGAATCACTGACTGAACCGACGGAACCGGTGAAGTTGATTCGGAAGAAGAAGGAAGGAGAAGCGACTAACGAGGCGACCAACGTGTCAGTTGGTTTGTTACAACAGCTGATCGAGGATTTAGAGAATAAAACAGTCTTGACTTGCTCCAAGGACGATGCCCCTTTAGACTCGGTCAATAAGGAATGCATTGCCGTTTGGGAGGAGAAAGAAGAGCAATTTATTAGGACTATTGAGGGCAATATTGGCGCCAAACACGAGACTATAACAGGGACTCTTCAACAAGGAAGCGAATCAAACGGTCGCTTCCGCATTATCGAACTGAAGCACGATGAAGAACTGAGGTCTCACTCAAGTCAACACGTGGCGTCCACCTCGAGGGAAGCCGACCTCGAAGAAGTTCAGATCGAGAAACGTGGATCGAATTCGTTATCGTCGTTGAAGCCATCGTGCGATGATGACAAGAAGACCGTAGATCAGATACTACCTATCGACGATGCGGAGAAAAGAAAAACGTTCAACGAAGCGACAACGAAAAAGAAGAAGAAGAAAGGCTTTGGCAGCCGACTGAGGAAACTCTTCCGCGCCGCCTTTGGCCGCCAGCAGAATTGATGTTGGGTTCCAGAAGGAAAATGCTACCTCACGATCTACGTCAAACGGCGGCGATTCCCTTCGTTTGCTCATACAGCTTTTTAATTATGTATTTTTTAAAGGGAAACACGCCCATGAATATATAGCGAGTAAAAATAACCGACCGGTAGCGTAGGCACCGGCCGCGGGTCTTTAGCATCCAACACGACTTCGGTGCGACGCGTGAATCAGATTCTCTATACATTTCTAGATGATAATCAAACATTGTACACAAACTCGCAAAATTCTGTAAAATATATAATGTCTGATGATCTCATAATGCGTGTCACATTCTTTAGTTTAAGCACTTTAAGTGATTCAGTTTAGAGATTAGTAGTAGTAGAGACTACTAGCGATATCGATGCCCGCAGAATATATTTTTGCCTGATGCGTCCATCGGGCGTTGCAGATCTGGCAGTCTGACATAGGAATGTCATTGTCGTCGACGTCGAAGTCTCATTTATCGCAGTAAGAAAAGACATTCGCCAACTCTCGTCTCTCGTCGCTTCCCGAACTGTTTTTGGACCGCGGTGTTGCCATGCCCCGTCGTTGTCGGTCCGGACCGAAACTCCTCTCGCAGATCTGGACCTCAGCATCGTTTGAGGGTGTCCTCGTAGCGCCATCTGCAAAAATAAAATGAGTAAATTTGGTAACACCGGGTACCACTTCTGGTTCAAGCTTCGTTCGGTCAACATCCACTGGTACCAGACGATCGACAATGGTAAGTTTCGATCCCTCTTTCTTTTTCGCGACAATTTTTTTAACAGCTTCCTCGTGAATGACAAATTTAATAAATTATAGTTACATTGTTTTTATATAAATGTGTAATGTGATAGCGAGATATTAAAACGAATAACGTTAATATAATGAAAAAACTTTCTTGTACTTTTCAGGCAGACCTTAGCAGCAAGGATGTCGAAAGTGAGTAAAACTCATTTATTGTTAAATAATTTCCTTACATTTTCACGTTCCGCATAAATCATATGGAAATAACGAAGATAGATCAATCAATTTGCGTCATAATTAGTGAAACTGTAAGTGATTCTATATATAATTTCGTAGCTTTGAGTCACGCAATTAGAAGGAAGTGATTGAAGTTTTAATAGAAGAAAGTAAAATCTTCTATCATGTTACCAAAACGGATAGTAAAATTTGTCATATCACTTCATTAATTAATGACGTCATTAATTTTAAAACAATACATAAGAGAGTTTTGCTAAAATTATCATTCTTAATGTTTCTAAAAATAGTCTAGCTAATAAAACAATCTCTTCATTAAATATAAATGTTTTATTTTGTGATCATCAGTGAATTATTTAACAAAATACTTAAAAACTAAAAAATTTTGACAGTTCTTGAAACATTTCGTTTACTCTCCTTAACACTAGAAAAACAAATAATTTCTTCTATAAATTATTTCCATTAACTTAAAGTTAAAGAAAATTTCATTCTTCTTTTAATTTATGCTTGTTTTTATATTCATTCTTTTTGGATAATTATTTTTTTTATTAATCCGATGAATCATAACGCGCGAATTTTCTTCGCGGTATTTCCAATTTGCATGTTACGTTCCATTTTTGACGTTACATAACGACTAGGGATCGGGTAGGTGAATGTGACCGTTCTGTAGCGCGTCAAAAATAGGTTGGTAGGCTGTTCTTATATGGTTCGGCGGGGGTAATCTGACCCACTACTTCCACCACCGACTTCTTCAATCAGCGGTGGGGCTTACCGCCTCTCCTAAAATAGAAGAATATTTTTGAAGATACGAACGCACGCGGTGTACTTCATGCCTACGGTATTAACCCAGATTTCGCACCTCGCATATTTAAAAACAATACCAAATACTCATACATAGAGTATACATATAGATACATATGTGATATATAAAATTATGTTCAAATTTTTCTTAATTACGAAGATCTTTTTATCGAGAACGTTTGATCATCGGTGATATCCTTTACGGTATAGCTGGAAAAATGCATAAAAAATTTTTTTTAAAGAGGCAGAATTCGCCTTCTCCATTTACGACTCAGACGGCACCAACGTCATCGATGCGGTTGATCTTGGCAACGTCCTTCGCGCGTTGAACTTGAACCCTACGAATGCGACTATTGAAAAGATGGGCGGCACGAAGAAGAAGGGCGAAAAGAAAATGAAGCTGGACGAATTCCTGCCTATCTTCAGCCAGTGCAAAAAGGATAAGGAACAGGGATGTTACGAGGACTTCCTCGAGTGTTTGAAGTTGTACGACAAACAGGAAAATGGAATGATGCTTGGCGCAGAATTGTCTCACACACTTTTATCACTTGGTACGATTTCCTCTTTTTCATCAACAATTATTTACAACTTATAAAAAAAGACAATTAAAATTTGCTTCTCTAGTTTTATTATGTGTAATTATATTACACAAATACAATCTTGTTTCTAAAATAGATATCTGTGTGCAGCTTTATTATAAACAATAAATATTATTTTGCGAATATTAATTTTCAAAAGATTATATTGAATTGACGTTTTATTTGTAAGGAAATAAGTTAATATGATCTGAAACCTGAATGATTGCATTTATCGTAGGTGAACGTCTTACTGATGAGGAATGCGACATAGTGCTGAAGGATTGCATGGATCCAGAAGACGACGACGGTTTCATCCCCTATTCTCGTAAGTATCAGTTCGTTTTGGGCCGGGTATCGTGAATGAGCCCCCCCCCCCCCGAAATAAACGAAGAGTGTCGAATCACCTGCATCACATTGACATAGAATACGTTAGTTTGAAAAAAAATCCCTATCTTTTCTTCAAGATCCCTAAAACCATTTTGTTAGATCTAGAAAGTCCCCCTTGTATATAACGTACAGTTGACGAACCCTTCGATTTATAATACGGACCTCCGGTAACTTCCGGCAACATGAAGAGATCCCCCGGAATTGATTTGTTCCCACCCCATATCGTTTGACACTTCCACATTTTTGTGTTTCGCAGCCTTCTTGAAGAAGATGATGGTACTGTTGTAAGCGATTGAGGTGTTATCGAGACAATGATCATCCATCGTAAGTACACCCTGTAGCGTAATTCCATGATTGTCCGTCATTTCTTCATGTCTTTTTTATCTGTCTCTATCTTTTTATTTGTATCCATTAACATTGCCTCGTCCGCATTTTCCTGCTAAGCATATTCCAGAATTTATAGGACGCAACGTTGCAGCTCGACAGGGATGCTGGAAATCGATAACCCGCTTCTCGCGCAGAAACACGTACGAAGGTTTTGCTCGCGCGCGGGGTCAATGATCTGACGAGATCAAGGAAAATTACATGAAATAAGATTAAATAATCAAGACACTGACAAAAAGTTAAAACAAAATGAAAAAATATATATTGAACATAACTTTTTTTCTACAACTTGTATTATAGTGTATATTTTTAAATGAATTTTAATTTGATGTTTCCTTTATTTAAATATCGTATTTTAATCTTCTTAAAAAAAACCAACTTTTATTAATTAATATAATATTACATAAAACAACTTTATTATGCATCTTATATTAATTATACATAATTATATAAATTATGTTCTTCTACATACATGATACTTTTGTTATAAAAACAATTTTTAATGTCCAAACTCTAGTATTTCTCTGCTACGCGAATTATTAATGCTTCTTTGTACATTATTTATGTATGTACTTATTGCTTTTATATATTTGTTGCTTTGCTATAAGATAAATCTACATGGCAGCGCAAAATTGAGCACTGACTGCTATATAAATTAGACTAAATCGTTCAATACTTTTAGCTTCGCGCATAAACTAATTTTCTTTATTTTTGCTTTGAAATATACGTTTATCGTCTCTATCAAAATATGCTTATTCACTTGTCAATGATTCGCGATTTGCCTGAGCGGAATAATATATTGATCACTCTATTTCGTTCACAGCGTTCCTTCGTAAACTGTGTGAGAGGGCGGCAGCAACCGACGATTAGGATGATCGCTGTCAACATCTATCTGCCAAGCCATGTCGACGATGGAAACATTCGCCATATTCGCTCGTCACATTCATCATTTTTTTTCATCTCCCCCTTCCCCGCTAGATTATGCAAGGATTCACTTGACAATTTGCATGTAATACGCGATCCTGAAATTAGCAACATCAAAGTGTCATTTTATCGAAGGAAATCAAGAAAGGAGAAGATTCACGAATATCGAGAAAAAAAAATACTTCGTCTCGAATGCACGTAATATTGTTATTTGATTCAGTTTCATACAATACAGCGTCTATATTAAATTTACAGAATGAAAAAATATTTTAATATAGCTACATTGTACAAAGTCAGATGAAATGGTCGATATTAATTTACTTCTTATTGTTACTATAATAAATTGCTCCTCTCGAATCAACGGAGAGGATTTAAAAATCCCCCAGTGTTGATATCTTGAAAATACTCTGTTCGATATATATATTGCGTTTTATTTTAATATTAATTAATTACCTTGTTTAATACAATATTCATTTTCAAACGATTATAATTTATATTGCGTGACATCCAAGCTTTAATAACATAAAATACTTTAATATGATAAAATATGATGTCGCGAAGACTATCAGTTTAGCATAGATTCTTTAATATTAGCGTATAAGTCTGGCTATTTTTGCCTAACTGACATTTTCTTGCTCTACTTAAGCAATCGCGTGAGAAACACAAACAATAGGCATGTTACTGCCGAAATCTATTTAAAAGCTGGGTTAGCATGTTAGATTTTTTTTATTATACAAAATATAATAATAGTGTAATTATTATTTTTTATAAATTTTAATGTGTTATTTACAATTATACAATTAATACTGTCAGAACATTAATTATTCAAATAGAACTTTTTCTGGTTATTCGAACTATTTTTGTAAGAAACATGCTAAGTAACTATAACTAGAAGTAAGATATAACTGTAAGTACTTGGAAACTATCAAATTGTTTTTAGTTGTTTTAAGTCAAGTTTAAAGGATAGAACTGAAATCGATAAAGATAACTTTCGCGCAAAACCACGAGTGGAATTTAGCTGAACAAAATTCGTGTAAAACTGTAAATAATGAAAACGATTAATCTCATAAAAATATCGATGTGGATTTATAAACACCATACAGTGTCTATATAAAATTCTCATCGTATTGATGTTAATATTAATTAACCATCAACATGAAATGGATTCATAACCCTAAGTGTTTATATAAATATCATGGTGTGGATTTAAATCTTATGGTGTTAAATCCATATCATGTTGGTGTTAATATTAACACAATAGAAATTATATATAATATTATCGCATGATGTTAAATCTAATATTTTTGTAAAGTGAGTTTGAAACCATCGAATTGTTTTAAGTCAAGTTTAAAGAATAGAACTAGAATCGATAAAGATAATTTTTGCGCAAAACCGCAAGTAGAATTTAGCTAAACGAAATTCACGTAAAATTAGAAATAATGAAAACACACAATAATTTTTATCACTCTAAAAAATAGCAATATGGATTTAATACCATGCAGTGTCTATATAATTCTCACCGTGTGAATATGAACAAAGTATAGATTTGTAACCCTTAGTGTTCTTATCAACACTATCATAGTGTGGATTTTAAATCCATGGTGATAAATCCACACCGATATTTTTTAAAATGATAGGATATCCTTGCACAGCACGATTCGCGGATCAGTTTAGATTGAGGTCGGGCAAATCCGCGCCAGCTCTCGAGAAAGATCTTCGACTGATCTCCAGCGATAATCTGTCGTGGCACATATCTCTCCGCTTGAATGGCTCGATCGATAAATCACGCGCGGATTTCAATCGCGCATGAGATCTTTCTTTTCTCTCGTCTCTTATCATCATCGTACCTGCCTGATGACGGAGCGTGTTTGTTGTGGGTGGACGGACACGATGTGTTCGTTCGTACGCGCTCGGCAGGCTTCGCTTACAGGGACAGAGGCAGGCGTGGGGCCACAGCTTGGTCCCGGCAAGCCGGTGGCAGCAGCTGCGCGTCTTTCCAATCGTCCCCCGAGTGGTATAATCCATCAGCCGTTTACTTCGCACCTCTTTTATTTTGCATCCTCTTGTTCTCGCGTATCACTTCTTGCGTGCAAATCAGGAGGTCTAGTTACACTATTACGGCGCAACGCGCGCGCGCCTGAGACGTTGAAGCGAAGTGCTTGAACACGGAGTGAGGTCTTGAGAAGATAGAGATCCTCCGGAGCAGTCTCCCTAAACGACCACCGCCTAGATCGTCGTAAAGGATGACGGACGTCCAGGTGAACCCGGGTGGCAGACTACAACAGAGCGAGGTGGCCGCGGCGCAGCAAACAGGTTGGTCCCGTTCGTGGACACCTTTGCGCTTCCTCCTCCGCGTCGTTTATTTTTGCGATCGACAACCTTGAGACCACATCCGTGGTCCACGGATACTGCCGATTGGAGCAAACAGCGCGCGCGCGCTTTCCGCCATTTTGACCTGACTCTCGTAGATAGAGGATCTGATCTCGCGGAAAAAAAATCGTTCTTTTCCGCGTCTCGCATTGTCCCCGCGTCGCTGATCTTCTCACGCGATCATTAAAATCAGCTGCGTGTCTGCGGAACACGGCGTTCCTGATCCGTCGTGCGATGCAGCGGGTGCGGTCCACGAGAAACACGCGCGATGTCAGAGTGATTGATAAATGATTTTATTTCATTCTTTCGGGAAGCTTGGGTGCTCGTCAAAACGAATGTGAGGCACGAATATGTAACGCTCCATTAAATTTCTATCTGCAAATTATTTTAAAAGCGAAGAAGGGTTAGATTCATTAAACGTGTATCTCTGCAAAGCATCCTCATTCATTAGCCTTCTAGAAACATCGACGAACAGCTTTTCCTCACGTACCATCGTTTTATTTCAATGAAACGTTTATCGGGATTTAAATTGAACTGAACCTTTTTACGCATCAATCAGCTTTAATGAATCTTTTTCTGTTTATCTGATTCTCTCACCAATTTATTATCTTATGTTTATTAATTTTTGTATTGTTCATGACATATTATTTACATCTTGCACATGATAATATATTGTATATAATTATGTAATATATATGTTGATATTTACATAATTCATAATAATTACATCGCGTTTAAACACTTACGTTACGGAAATAGCTCGTAAATTTATTATATTTATCATATTTGTCACGTTTATCATTTATTATCTTTTCCGTTTGAGCTAATATTGTAATAAAAATAAATTTTCGATTCTTAAACAAAGATTTTGTGATTCTATCTGGAGACACGGTAGTGTCTCAGCGTTAAAAGACAAACGCAGCGTCGTGACGCGTAAGACATACACCTTATTTGAATTTTTACATATTTATGTATTCAAAATGTCGGATAAATTTACAATTATCGAACAAAGAACCACCTATAAAAATGACTTATATTTTATTATCCATTTTAATATTATCTATTTTTAACTTCAAGACCTTCTAAATAATACACATGCTGAAAGTTAAGTCTGCCACTTATCTCTTGATGGCAACAAATATTTCCATTAAAAGTGATAGAAAAAGCGTATCGGTATGAAAACGAGCTTTTGTAGAAAACAATACATTACAAATGTCCTAATAATGCGACATTAATTGCAATATCTATATGTATCAATACAATAATAATTAATAAACAAAAATTTGTCAAGGTTT